ATAATAATAATAGTAATAATAATAATAATAGTAATAATAATAATAATAATAATAGTAATAATAATAATAATAATAATAATAATAATAATAATAAAAATAATTACAATAACAATAATAATAATAATAGGCTTACTATTCGCAGTAGTATAGTATTATTAATTTAGGTCCTAAACATCTAAGGTGTTGTTATTAAACGATCCTTTTTGGTAAACCCTTTGTATTGTTTTTAGCCCGCTACATTAATTAAATTAATTTATTTTAAATAATTTTAAGAAACTGAAATAATTCTTTTAGGTGAAGTACGTATACTGTTATTGTTTTGAAATCTGATTACAGCAGGGATGGCGCCAGCGGGGGTGGGGGGGGGTGCCAGGGCGCCCCGTCGGAGAAAGCACAATTCGTTGGGGAGAAAAAAAATTATATGTATTTTCTACATATTAGTACTAGTAGACTCTGGACCACTTTCGAAACCTTTTAATCGAATTTTGACCACGCCTACTTTCCTTTTGTCGGGAAAATCTGACACCTCGTCGAGGGCAAATCCTGGCGCCACCCCTGGATTACTACATATTTGGGCTTAATTATTGTACGTTAGAGCTTGAATATGGTTAATTTTCAAACCCACAAAATCGGACAAAACGTGTTTATTTATGATTATAGTTTCCACAGAGAGAGAGAGAGAGAGAGAGAGAGAGTTTAATATTTTCTTTTGCAGGGAGTTTAAACATTTTTTTTCAGCGCAGTCTTTTTTAGCGTTTCCCCGCTGGTGATGCGAGTTTGGCCTTGATCAGAATCGAACTTGATACATCAAACCCGGAGGCTGATGGATTAGATAATGTTCCTAATTCTTGCTGCTCATCTTCTGATCATCGTTTTTATTCTTCATGCATGTTAATGAAGGGTCTCCAATAAACTCTATAATTTGCTCAACTCCCACGTGTCGTTCTGTATTACAGACAGTAATCATACATCTGACACTGCTTATAAATGACGTGTCAGATAATAAAATGTTAGGCCAAAAACATACACTGAAAAATGGTCTTTCTAGATGCGTTCCATATTTATACGCTAGGTGGTTTATTCGTTCATTCTATTTTCTCAGGATACGATTTTATAATAGGTCTTTATCAGATAAAATTGGCCGAAAACAGATACTGAAAAATGTTATTTTAAAGTTAGATATGCTCCATATCTATATGCTAGATATTATTTGTTTATTATAATTTCTACTTCAAGTGTTTTAATACTGTATTTGTGTATTAACTGCTTTGATGAGTTGAATACAAGCGACAACCTAATGAAAAACAGGCCCAGATTTTTTTTTATTATTGTTGCTATTGTTATTATTATCGTTATTGCTATTATAAACCTATTGTTATTTTTATTATTATTATTACTGTTATTGTTATTATTACTATTATTATTATTATTGTTGTTGTTGTTTATTATTATATATTTATCATGATTAAATTTTGCTCTTTCATGATTTTGTTGGTTTTGATTGTTAAAGTTTAGCCGTATTACAGGCACTTGATTGTCATGTTGAAGCAAGCCTAAACGGGCACTGCTCAATTTTATATTTTATAAATCCGTAGTCTAAGCCTCGTTTTACAACTGCCAGTGAAGAGATACGCAATTTTCGCAGCTACCTCCTCATCGGCCTATGACAGATGTAGCCCTATAACTTTCTTCAAAAAATTTCATTTAGGTTTTATAATACTATATATAATTATTTGAACATTTTGTATAGATATATCCAACATAGCTTTTCTAAAATCTTAAAGATCAATTAGCATATATCGCGGACGGTACTCAATTATTTTTTCATTATATAATGATTATTGTTATCATTATTGCTGTTATTATTGTTATTTATTTATCTATTGAAATTAATTTTGCTACGTTATAGCCTAATGTTGTTGATTTGGATTATTTGCTAAATTTTAACCGTATATTTGATTTGATTGTTATGTTGAAGAAAACTTAATCAGGCCCTGCTCATTTTATATTTTGAAGTCCGTAGCCTAAGCCTTGTTATCAATTCGTTGACTACTTCTGCCTGTATAGAGATATGTAATTTTCATAGTCACCTCCTCATCGGCCTAGCAAAACTGTATACGATACCTACATAAGTCAGTTGTATGCCTAGCGCGGATAGATGAAGACAATTGTGATTAACAATTAACAGATACCGGTAATATAAGTCAACAAATTATAAGTGTTCTTTTATCAAGGTCAATTTTATTTATTATCTTGTTTGCTTCAGTGATGCCAATATAAT